AGTAACTTTTACTCAAATTACATTTTAAATGAAGTAATTTTGTACTTTTACTTGAGTAAATTTTGAGATGGGTAATTTTACTTTTACTCTGAGTAAAATGTAAGCAAAGTAAAGATACTTTTACTCAATTACAATTTTTTAGTACTCTTTCCACCTCTGGTCAATGCAATCAACTGGTTTTGATAAACACATCCCACTCCTTCCTTTTTCCTTCACTTTCTGGACAGCGCATGACTTTGATAGGATTAAGAGTTTACATGGAGGAGCAGTGGCGCTAAAAATGTAGGGGCTCAAATTGGAAACAAGAGGAAGAAGGAGAAAGATATTGCCTTGGTGAAAGGCAATTTCTCCATGTTGCTGAGAGACAACAGGTAAATAAGTACACTTTAAAGTTAGCTTAAACTACTATATCAAATCTTCCTTTATTATCTACAATTCTTGAGAGAGTAGTTGCCAAACAAGTGTGCGACCACTTACACCATAATTAACTTTTTGAAGAGTTTCAGTCTGGCTTTAGGGCTCATCATAGCACTGAAACAGCTGTTGAAATTCGTTAATGATATTCTCATGGCCTTAGTTAATGGACTTGTGTCCGTACTTGTCCTGTTAGATCTCAGTGCTGCATTTGATACGGTTGATAATATTATTTAAGAAAGACTTGAATATTTTGCAAGGATGACTGTGTAAGGAAGCCAGAGTATCTGGAGAGAACCCATAAGAGCATGCAAACTCTATGCAGAGAGATCCTAGATCAGCACCTTCCTGCTGCAAGGCAACATTTCCAACAGTCCATAATAGATTAATGTATTAGATAGGAAAATAAATGTAACATTAGTTTATTTCACGGCACATTTATGTATTTCATGATTTGTTTTAGCCCTCCATATACCTCAAAGGTAACATCACAATGGCTGTGAAAACCATCCCAGGACCCCCCCAGTTGGTGTCTTACAGACTCCTGGGTGTCCCAACCTTTGGAAACCCCTGTGTTAAGAGATGGCTTCCTTTACTTCTCTCTTCCAACCATTAGTCTTCTCTGTTGGGAATGTGGATGCCACTGTCTCCAAGTGTGTCCCTGTCCCTGGAGACTGAGGTGGACAACTTATTCCCGAGAGCTTAGCTGTCTTGTGCTTTTGTTTAGTTTGTCTGATGGACAAAGATCAAAAACTGTTTTGTTTTTTTTTTGTTTTTTTTTTCAATCTCTGAAACATTAATTCTTCATTAATCAGCATGGAGCCAGCAGGTGGCAGTATGTAACCTCAAGCTTCCTCAGTGTTGTGGGATTGAAGATGGGCGGGGCTATAATTTAAGGGGCGTGGTCTAAAGGTCAACAGCTGGAGACCCAGGACAGCTGCAGACTCTGAGCAGAGCTGAAGCTGCAGAGGACACCGTTACTGTCAGCAGGTGAGTGGATCAACCTGATGAGACTCTGATCCATCCATCAGTTTTCTGCCTTCAGATCAGCTGCTGCTCTCATGCTTCAGGTCTCTGAAGCTTTGAGATGTTACACTGGAGTTTCCAGTAAAACTTAGGATAGAAAATAAAAACCTCCATCCAGAACATCCAGAAGTTCTTCTGAAGTTAATCAGGCTTTAAAAAAGGTTTCTTAGCACACATCTGACGTATTGATTACAATTTATTTTTTAAATAATCATATTAGTCTGACTTGAAATAATCAAAAAGCTATGAGACAGAAAATGTGTTCAGACTAACTATTTTTACTGAAGCTGTTGACATGATTTTCAAAATATATATATATTTAAAACTGAAGGTGAGCAGTGACTAGTTACATTAACTTGAGACAAATTTAGAAGTAGTTGTACTTTACTGTAGGCCTATGTTTTACTTATATGTATTTTGTATTGATACTCTTACTTGAATAAAATGTGTAGTTACTCAACTAACCAAGAGTAACTTGAGCTATTTGAGATCAGGTGAAACGACAATAAACAGTAGATGTTGTGTCTGGGAGTTATTGATCCCATCCTAATATATGTGTAATACCTACTATAAAGATTTTTTTAAAGTTTATGCTGAAATAAGTTATAATAAAAAAGTGTTTATTCAGCCTCATATATTTTTTTGTTAACATGTTGGCTATTCAATATTCATTTATTTTATTTCATACTTTAAAATGCAAGTTTGCTCATAATTGTCTATGATACATAATTTCAAACATTAACCCTATAATGCCAAATGTATCACATTTGATACATACGGTTTCTGAAATGTTTTGCATCGGACACCTTTTGCATAATCAAAATCCTATTGTATACAATCAGATATACCTGATAACAGCCAGTAGAAGACTACCCAAAAAAATAATCTTGACTTATCGCTTAGTATTAAATTATTAATATCAAAAATTTATTTCTGTTTTTTCTTTTTAAATATCTTGTTAAAAGGGCAAATAAGGAGTTCAAACCAAAAAAAAGTAATTTTCTGTTTTGTTTTATTCTTGGATCGGGCTTTAAAGGGTTAAATTAGATCAGAGCCAAAAATTACTCAATATTTAAGCAGCCATTCCACTAAGTGCTTTTTATTCTTACTTGACTGAAATGTTAGATGAATACTAATTACTTTGAATGGAGAAAAAGTATTGAAATAGTGCTACCCTCACTTGACTCATATCTTTGGGTATTCTACCCACCTCTCATATTGGCTCAAAGGTCAGAATGAACACAGAACCGTGTGATGATGAGAGAAAAAAGACAGGATGGAAGGTGTGACCTCATAGATGTTTTCCACCTGTGTGTTTGTGTGTATGCAGGGTTTTTCTACAGAGGAAGAACAAAGTTTAGAGAGGATGTGGAAAAGAGGGGAGCAGAAAGGGGACAGCAGCAACCTCATCGCCATGGAAACAAACCCGGAGATCCACTACGGCAGCATCACTGGGGTATCAGTTTTCACTCCCTGGAAAATTAGAAAGTATATACAACATTCAAAGTGTCGAGTTCCTCTTAGCGTTATCGTCGTGTACATACTTTTTTAAAGTTTGATGTTTGGGTTTGTCCTGTTTTCTTTTGGCATCTTAAACAAACTCTTAATGCGTAACCGAGAAATTGTCGTTCAACAGACAAAGAGATCAGGGAGAGTTTTTGTTCTGGATTTTGTCAAGCAGTCAGGCTATCATCCAGCTGGATGTTGACTTGATACATAACTGTGTTCATTTTCATTATCACAATATAAGCAATTTCTCTGCAAAACTCTGTTTTGCTCCTAAGTGGTGCTCATTTCAGTTGATGCTTTCAGAAAAGTTCTCCCAGATATTAAAACTTTCTGCCTTGTTTAAAAATAAAAGTCATTTTTGGAAGCTCATTTATAATACCAGTTGGGTTATTTTTTCTTTTTTCTTTAGCTTTTTTAGCTACAGTGTTGGTCAATTTCACCCATTTCCTCCAGAAATGTAAGCACCAGAGCCAAGTTCAGGCCAGTTTTAGAGGCTTTTTCTTCTTCTCACTGATAAGGAGCTTCTATTCAGTTTGGCCACAGCAGGAAACAGGAAGGCTGATTGAGGAGATAACATCTTAGTTGGCTTTTCTTTGATACGCGAATCTGTCATCAGCCTCATTACGATAATGTGGAGCTGTAGGAAAAGAATCAATCCGGGAACATTAGCTTCAAAAAGGCAGTAGAACCAGCGGTTGATTGCATCGACTCATTGACTCAAATACAATCCCTCAACAACACAGGCCACTGTGCCACTGTAAAAAGGATTTTTTAAAAGTTAATACATTTACTTTAATTTTCCCTTTCCCCTTAAGGTAAATAAAATGCCATGAGTAATTTTACTGTTAAATAAGATATTTAGATATTGTGCACTTTAAATAAGACAAGGCAATTGTTTTTTTTCTTATTTGAAATGTACATTTTCTTATTCTATTGGCGAAGTGTGTTATTCATTAATAAAAGAAAAAAGTGCAATTGTTTTAAGAAAATTTGACTTACTTCTAGGATTGACACACTGGAAAAACTATCTAGAAATAAGTAAACATTTCTTAAATTAACTGTATTTACCCTTAATTTCAATTCAGTTCAGAATATGCACTTGAGATAAGATAATGCAATTTTTTTTTTCTTATTTTAAATGTAAATTGCCTCATTCTGTTGGCAAAATGTCTCACTTTCCTCCTCAATTTAAGAAAAATTGACTTATATAGATTTCAATTTTTTGCAGTGCAGGCGATCTCGCTGTTTTAAGTCATTGGCTTGTTTTCAAGGAGCTGTTGTAGATGTTAATAGCTGTAGGCAGGAATGATCATTTATTGGTCTGTGATGCACCGGATCTGGGGAAGTCTTTCACTAAACACACTATGTTGTTAACAATCTTCTGAAGAGG